GGAGAAGGGCCACTTGGGTGGCAGCCTAGTCATTCTGATTCTGAGTAACAGCAGGATCTACAACTGAACAAACGCTGCTGGTGATGATGGCGAGTGTGGGGAGCTAGTAGAAGGGAGTAGACCCGATAATAACCCCCAAAAACTCCAGATCTTCAACCTAAACCCCAACCCTCAATTCCTGTGATCCCGACACCTCAAGCCCTAAACCCTATTAGCATTAAACCCCAAACCCTATACTCTAAACCCTACACCTTTAACCCAAAACCTTAGCCCCCCTAAACCCTACACCTGAAACCCTCAACTCCAACCCAAGGTATGGATATCAAACCCTGGACATTCTACCCTCCGGAGAGCTCTGAGGCATCTGGTTCAGGGGTTTAGGGTCTGAGGGTTTTATGGTTTAGGGTTTTGGGTTTGGGGGGTTTGGGTTCCTGACCTTTAAACCCTAAACCCGAGGGTTTTGGCCGCAGGTTTTCGGGTTTGGAAAATTAGGGGTGACAGGTGTACAGTTGATTTTTTGTATCCAAGAATGTGGATCATGGAAATGCCTGAGGCATCGCCCCAGTTGGCGATGGACATAGCCAGCTGTTTTCAGGAAGGAAGGCTGGAGGTTAGAGGTGTTTCCCATCATGGGGCTAAGGTATGAGGGTTGAGGGTTTAGGATTTAGGTTTAGGGTTTATAAATGAATTCTGGTAACAAGTGGCCGGCGCTAACTTCGTATCTCCTCTCCCTCAATTGTGAGACTAGGAGTCACAGCTTACCGGTTACCAGTAGACAGACGCCCTGGTCATCCTCCAGTAGCTGACAGGAGCAATAATCTAAATTCCTTAAAGGAGGATTTTTTGGAGGAGTATTCTAGGAACCCTAAACCCTAAACCCAGGGCTTATTGAGGGGGATACTAGGAGTTAGGCTATAGCTCATAACCCAGATTTAAGACTCATCAACAATTAAAAGCTGGTTATCCCCTATATGGGAGCTCCTAAGAAGGACCTCTATATGAGCCATAACCTAAACTCCTTAAAGGGGGTTATATGAGGGATTGTAGAGGGGACTATTATAGGGGTAATTAAGGGGGAGGAGTTTAGACTATAGCTCATATAATCCCCTGCAGATGGACCCCTCAGGCTCTGTATATATATATATATATCTATGTATATATATATGTATCCTAAACCCCAAGCCCAACGCCACGAAATCCTTCAGTGAAGGCCTGCCAGATGCTCTGCACCACAGCAGGATTAGACGAGATGACCGTCGAAGCTTGGTCAATTGATCTGGCGAAGGATACAAGCAGTTTAAGGATTGAGGATCTCGAACGTTCCTGAACGGAAGAAGTTCAGAAGAAGATGATTTAAGATGGGGCTGCGTCATGACGTTTTTGGGGGCAAACACTTATGTTTCCATCTAAGTAGATTTTCAGTAGTATCCCAGTATTGAGCGACATGATTTTGCCCATTTGGTTACAGCCCTTGTAGAAAAGAATAGCCGGTTCCACCACCAACGTCTATGCAATGCCAGCATGGTAGCTTAAAAAGCGGTGCTCCCAAGATGTATATGCTGGAGATCTGCAAGAAGTGCAAGGCGTGCCCATGAGAATTGCTGGTTTTTGTAAGGAGCAGGTGCGGGCTTCTTTTTTCGTATGAGGGAGACAAACACACATGCCTGGTTCCCCAGCCAAACCCTAAACAAGCCCAAGAGTTGGCAGACTCTCAGGGTTTAGGGTTTTGGATTTAGGGTTCAATGTTTAGGGTTTAGGGTTCAAGGTTTAGGGTTTAAGGTTTAGGGTTCAGGATTTAGGGTTTGGGGTTTAGGGTTTAGGGTTCAAAGTTAAGGGTTTGGGGTTAAAGGTTTAGGGTTTAGGGATGCGCCTTTTTTTGTTTGACAAGGATCTGCTGGTGTCAGAGTGGCGGGAGATGCTATACGATGAGAATGCTGGGGCCTCAGACTCAACAATTGATCAGGACGAGAAGTTGTTAATAAGTTTGTATTGCAAGACTCGCAAGAGCACTTACACAGTGGCCATGAAGCCTACGCCTTAAGCACCTATGCTAGTGGCGCTTTTTCCCCGCAGTATAAAGCCAAGGTGCAGATCGTGGACCGAGAGCAAGTGAAAACCGAAGCTTGTCTCGTCTGGGCTTAGGCTAAGGGATACCTAAACCCCAAAAGTATGTAAAAGAATAGCCCTAAACCCATACATAACACACACACACACACATAAAGGCAATTGTTTTACCTGCTTTTGGGGTCCAGGTAATCACTAATTCTCCTCCTGCTGGCGTAGAATGGAACCTATTTATAAATCATTTTGCAGGCCTTGAAAGTACCACGCAGTAGACTTCCGGCGATGGAACCAACATCTGCCAATCTTTGTCAGTATGTGTCCTCCACTACCCATTTGAGCCATGCTCTAAACTCCAGAAAGGGGCCTCTAGAGGGCGCTATATAGGGGACTGTTCTGTAGCATACTGTAGCTCATTTGTTGTATTTTTTGTATGTTGGGGAGCTCTTCTCTCTTGTGAGGGTGCTTCCGTCGCCTGCATTGCTTCAGTCGGGGGAAACGTCCTGGCGAATTCTGCGGTTAAGGGTCTACCCAAACCCGAAAAGTATCTAAAATAATGGCCCTAAACCCATACATAACAGCCATAAAGGACATTATTTTACCTACTTTTGGGGTCAAGGTTTCGGGCAGGGGAGGTCTTGTCAAGTTAGCCTCGCAGCTTCGGGGAATGGATGATTATGGCTTAGCACTGGGCAATCTAAAGCAACCTCCCCCGACCTCACCCTAAATGGTGGTTTATATGGGGAGTAGTACCAAAAATGGCTTCAAATTGGGATTGAAAGTATTCTACATTACTCTATTAGTAGCTGAGTGGATAACCTTTTCACCTTGGGGGGTATATACAGTCTTGTATTTCTACCACAATTAAGCGGTTAACGCTGTATTCGGGGCCAGCAAACTCAGCAACTAGGATGAGCATAGTTGAACATTAAGGACTGCTTTAGGGATGACGCCTCGCTCCCCATGAGGAATGCGTACGAAGTATAGAGTCTACTAGAGCAAGCACAGAGCAGCACTCAGTTCTGCCAGTCATCCATCCTAGACTTGCCCTGTGCAATCCGAGTTTCCGCTTCATTTTCCCTAGGAGTTCCTTTTGCCCTCCATAGCTCCAATTCTTTAAGCCCCTAAACCCTAAACCATGCTGCCCTATAGGGCCCTGCACGCCAAGGAACTGCTCTATGACTAGGCCGAAGTCGTGTGCGTCTGCGGTACTGTAGGGGCCTAACGAATCGCCAATATCATGATCTCAGATTCGTTGCATAGTTGGGGTATGGGGTACTTCAAGTGTAAGGATAACACCTACAGACTCCTACACAATCCCAGGTTTCCATGTCATTTTCCATATTCTTGATTTTCCACTATTGGTACCCTAAACCCTTATCCCTAAACGCTAAACCCTTATCCCTAAACCCTGAACCGTTATCCCTAAACCCTGAACCCTTATCCCTTTACCCTAAACCTTGAACCCTGAACCCTTATCCCTAAACCCTCTACTGGTACTTATTTACGCCCCTAGAGTACATTTTCAGCCTTGGCGTCAGCGGGCTCATCCTCGCAAAGGCGCCTCCGAAAGCTCCCAAGCTTGGGGTGTGACTGGGTTGAGATTAGGGGCTTAGGGTTTTAGGGTTTAGGGCCTTAGGGTTTAGGGCCTTAGGGTTTAGGGTTTAGGGCTGAGGTTTAGGGTTTAGAGTTCAAAGGTTAGGGTTTAGGGTGTATGATTAGGGATGGGAGCTTAGGGCTGTGGCTCTAGGGTTGAGCTTAGGGCTTGGGTTTAAGAGTCATAGATGAGGGTGTTTTCAAACCTTTTAGGGTGTAGGATGAAGGGACTCGGGTTTAGGGTTTAGGGATTATAGGGTAGTACTACACTTCAGGGTAATGAGCTTCCTCAAATAGTTGCAAAGCACGTCTTTTGTGGGTTCTTCTGGGGAATATGAACTAAGGTGAGAGCGCGCCGGCTCTGATGTTTGATGCTTTGAGTGGCTGGGAAGTGGCATCTTTATGGTAGCCGTAGATAACGAGTGCCTAAGCCCCTAAACCCTAAACCCCTAAACCCCTCATCCCTTCACCCTAACGCTCGAATTTCATCACCGCTGCTTCCAGGCTAGCTCATTCCCAGTCTAGCAAAGCAGGCCTCAGAGACCACAAAAAACTCCGAGCGCTTGCAAAGACATGGTTTTCGGCAAAAAAAGGCGCAGGGCAGCTTGCAAGCAAGCCCCCTTTCTCACAACGGTGCTCTACAGTTTAATTTGGGCTTACTGCCACTGCAGAATATGCATGCTCGTGTGCTATTTGAACCATTATGGGCTCATTCCCAGTTGTAGCAGTTTGAACCACGCCTGTTGCTAGTGCTTGATTGTTGCAGACGTTTACGTATAGTTTACAGGTGTGCACGGCTTGCGTGTTGCAATTATGATCGTCGGAAGGCACACGTGAGGACCAGGAATCTAAATGTTGGCAAGGCTTAAGGGGGTGTGGGGGGACCTCATAAGTGCTAGTATAGAATACGGGCATTGAATCGGGACGGTTCTGGTAGTCCGCTCCTTCCCCACCCCTCAAGCATCAGGAAGAAACCGTAAAGCTGCCAGCAAATAGAGAGACTAATGAGGCAAGTCTTTTCTCAAAATTTGAGGCCTTTCTACTCAACTGAAAGTTGCAGCTGCGCAAAGAGAATCAAGTCTGAGACGAGGCCAATAGCTACCATGGCATTTTCCATCTGCTGCACCATTTGAATCGCAATTACTAGGGTAGCAGCAATGATCCCCTTTCCCCAAAACCCTCCATGAGCCTACTCGCTGGAATATATGGGCTACAATGCGGCTACAAGGGCGCCCAAAATACCTAAACCCTAGAGCGAAACTACAATCAAACCCGAGATTTGAGTTTGGTAGTTCTTTTGGGCCCTAAACCCTAAACCTTAAATCCTACATCCGGTGCCTCAGGATCCCAATTCTCCCACCAGCGCGTCGGTGGAGACCTCAGGTGATGATGCCCTCGAAGCCAGATGCGAGTTGATCAAATCGGGGGACCGCATGGGATTCTAGGGAGATATAGCGATCATGCGGCGATTCCGGGTCCCCCTAAAGGATTGTGTAGGGTTCATGTTGATAAGCTACCAGATGTGCATGTCTCAGCATTCTAAGAAGTGCTGCCCAGCAGGAACCCATAATGTCAAGAAGCTCCAGGTGGTTGGAGCGGGCCCCTGATATGGGCCCTTAATCCCTTTAGGGGGATTCTAGGAACCATTACGGGTACATAATGGATATATATATATATACATATATATATATACATTTATACAGTGTATCAGGATGATTCGAGGGGTAAGGGCCCATACTAGGGGCCCATGGTTTTAGCCCTTAGAGAGCTGTTTTTTCTTGAGTTGTTTGCAAAAGTTCTGCACTTAACAAGGGCTGTTTCCAGATCATGGCGGAAAGATGAGTGCAACCCGTCTGAGCTAGAGTCACTAGTCTGAACTCCTTAAAGGTGGGTTATACAGGGGCTCATATACGGGAGTGTTCTAGGGGTTATTCAGTGGGCTACCAGGAGTTTCCACTACAGCTCATGTCTTCTTTTGTGGCGCTTTACATGAGCCGGCTGACTGCAACACATGTACATCCCTCACGGCACGGAGTACAGCGCGGAATGGCAGAATTGATTGCTTTGGCAGGCCTTTCTTAGTCCCCGTCATGCAGCCCCTGATGCCTTGCAAAGCACCGTCAAGACCTCCCTCAACCCTAATCCCAAGTAAAAGCTCCTCAGGCCTTTGATGGGCTGACAGAAGCTACGCAGGCGCCCAGTTTTTTTTGATGGTTCCTAGGGCCCAAGCTGACTCTGTGAAGCAACTTATACAGTTTGCTTTATCCCAAGGACCCCGCACAACAGTGCCCCACAGTTTTGAGAACTTGCCTCTTGGAGCTTTGGCTCTTTACGCCAGGATGACGATCTGCGGCCACGACCTCATATGTACCTGCTGATGCGAGTTGTGTTAGGATCTGCTGGGGAAGTTTCTGTGGAGCTCATGTTCTGCCACTTGGAGTCCCAGGGTTTAGGGCTTGGGTAATCCCACAAAACCCCTGATAACTTGCAGAACGCATCGCGGATCATCTTGCTTGCCTTTGCGGTGGCAAATTCAAAGCCATGCGTTGGGGGGGACTGCTATAGGGGACGGGGATTATTGTAGGGATCCATTCCCCCCACACTAAGCCCTAAATTGGCCCTAAACCTTAGATGACATTGAGTAGTTGCCATGCTCTTTCCATTCCCTGCTAGCTGCTAGCTGCCAGTTAATGGCACCTTGAGAAGGCCGTTGGTAGTGGCTCAAGTGCGGAACTCGCAGCTGGGGCTACATCTGCTCTTTACATGGAGTTAGTTTGGGGTTTAGGGTGGGTTTAGGGTTCAGGGTTCAGTGTCCGAAGCTTTTAATCTATGATTCTTGTAGGGATCAGTCTCTGAGGTTCAGGGCTTCGGGGTTGAGGGATGAGGCCCGCTCAAGCTGCTATGCAAAGGGAAGCAAAGCCACAGGGCTATGGAAGCTATGAGCAGGCGGCAGCAGGTCGTTGCCCCAGGCTGTTGGGAGATGCTGTTGACCCTGAGCATGTTCTAGCTTAGATGGTATTGTAGTAGGACATTTATTGTCAGCACAAGGTTGTGTAGAGTGCCGGGCTAAAGGTGCAGGGTTGGGATTTGGGCGCGAGGTTTGCGGTTCAGGGCTTAATTATCATGTGAAGGGTGTAGCGTTTCTGGCTACGTTTCCAGCATTGGCGACAGGACTGGTTGTAGTATTTTGACTGTGAATACGACAACGACAGTTGTACTGAGACCAAGCACACGAAAACGAAGCAGCAACATGGAATTGTAGTAGGAGCAGGAGGAGGAGGAGTAGTATCAGTATAAGTAGAAGTTGAAAACATTGAGGGTAGATAGAGGTAGACTGACGTAGAGGTAGAGGTAGAAGAGTATTCGTAAACATGTCATATTAACAGTAGCCATAGAAGCAGCAGCTCGAATGGTAGCTGAGGTGTCCTGGAAGACCTGCAGCGGAGTATGCTGGCATCAGACATTGCAAAGTCGCTGGGAGCCAGGTATGGTCCACGAGGCCCTGCCATCCTCCCCGGGACTAAAATGGAGGGACCCCAATACCCCTCATTTTCGGGAAACCCGCATATGAGGGCAAAGTTTTGCGCGTGGAGATTATCCATGTCTTTGCGGGGCTACGTCGTGGATTATCACGGAAGTTCTGAATGTTGTTAGGCATTTCTTGTGGTGTCCCTTTTATTTTCTAGCAGTGGCAGTAGATGGGAGACCTACACAAAACCCTAAACCGTAGTCCCCGAAACAAGAAACTCCTTGCTGACTGTCCAGGTCCTGGGCCCAAAGAAACCACGTGCCTGGGCATTGTTAGGCAAGAAACGACACTTTTCCCAGATAAGATAGGGGGTTGTCAAAATTTGTTGGCTTTGAGGGGCCCTTTTTCTGATTTGGAGGGTTCCCACAGAACCTTCATAAGATATTTATGAATCTGCACCGCCCCAAGGTATCTTCTCCGCAGATTGGCAAGCGAGGGTCCCCGCAACCTCGTAGAGAAGGTTTTCGCTGAGCTGCAGAGCGCTGGATCGGAGCTGAACGTCTTCCGGAGCAAGTTAAAGGGACTAGCCACGCGGTTTAGGGTTTAGGGCTCACCCGACCTCCATCCAAAGGATGGTTCATAGGGCCAGTTACCCTAAATGGGAGTTTTCCAAAATTAGGGCTGCCTTTTTGGGGGTCCCAAGAACAGGGATTATTGTATTTGGGGGTCCATGTTGAGGTCCCCCTATTCCAGGAAAGTGCAAAGTTGGCTCTCTGAACTATTCTTGTTTGGCCAGGTCTTCCACTTCAACACCTTGTTGGCGGCCCAGGCGGCTTGCAAGGAATGTTCAGGGGGGGTTCGGGGCGTTCTCCTTCGCAACATCCCCTTGTCTCTCTCCCTCCCCTCCCAAAATTGTCTGTCGGATTCAATGAGACATCAGTGGGATCTAGAAAGGTTTCAGTGGGCTCAATTTAGCAGTTTATTCGAGGGACTGCTCTCGGGTGTGGTCGCCATGCGAATCTCAAAGAATCCCTACACCACATAAACCCCAACTGCAAAACCCCGAACCCTAAACCTTAAACCCTAAACCCTAAACCCTATTTAAACCATACCAGCTCAGACCATGCAAAGCAGGAGCCACCCGAAGCCTAAAAGCCTGGGATTGCTCCAGTAAGAACTTGGAACTCCCTCTAAAGGCTTAACCCCCGTAGAAGGGGTATATAGGGGTTATATAGGGGATGTATAGGGTTTGGGGTTTAGGGAACTCACTCTACCCTTAAGTCAGACCCCAAATGCTTAAACATCGCGCGCTCCATGCTCCTACAGTAGTCAGGCAAGAGTGGGCCGGTGGCCGCGCTGCTTAACTCTGCTCAGAGAGATGTTATCAGCTGGTGTATCCCCAGATGTCTACACGCCACTCGGCTACATCAAAGTGGCTTGCAGTTTTTTTTTGAGCGCCAGCTGCAGGTTGAGCAGTAGAAACGTTTCCCTAAAGGAGTACATGCTTACTGCAACAAGAAAAATCATTCAAGACGTTCCCACATGCTGTGCAGGGAAGGAGGATTCCATGGTAGTTATGGTTCTAGGGAGCGCTGACTGGCAGGTGCACAACAATTATGGCCTCTCTTCTAGCCTCCCTTAATAACCCCTACAGTAGTCCTCTATATGAACCCTATAGAACCCCCTTTAAGGACCTCCCATCTATGCTGAGAGCGGCCGCAGAGTCTCAGGTATGGCACCATCGTCAACGGCTGTGAAAAAGGCGCAGCCTGGGCTGTGGCTGTACAGATTCTCCAGGAGATGACGTCCAACAGCTGCAGCCGGGGCCTTTGCTGGGCTGGGAAGTAGCATAGTTACCCTACTTCTTGTGCTGGACTGAAGCGTGGTAGTGAAGGCATTGGTCAATTTACTCCTAGCTTCTTGCAAAATGTACAAACTTCAGAGGTCCCGAATTGGAACCCCTTTCATCTCTTGATTAGCACCCCTCTTCTTGTGGTCCGCGATTTTGGAGTTGCGCCAAGGACTAGATACCATCACCTGCAACTCGATCATCAGCGCGTGCGAGAAGTCCGGAGAGTGGACCCAGGCACTGGGCGCTTTGGAGGCGATGATTGCCAAGGAGGCGTCCCACTTGGTTTAGGGACTTGGGTTTTAGGTCCCCTGCTTCCTGAAATCTGCGTATGATATCGGATTTTCGCTCAAAGAATCATGACATTATCGCTATTCCGGATTCCTTGTAAGTACAAACTTCTTGTAATCCTCGAGATCTCTTTTGGCCCCCTAGGAAAGTTTTAGGGCCTTTTTTTCGCAAAACTCCCAGTGGTAGTGTTGATGTCACATGTCTTTGCCCTTGCATTGGCAAGGCAGAAGGGAGCTTTCTTTATGTCATATCTACTATAGTCTAAACTCCTTATGGGGGGCTATATAGGGGAGTAATTGTGGGGCTTACTAGGGGGGATACTAGGAGTTTAGATTATAGACTATAGCTCATATAGTAGCTTCCACTTCCTAGTGCAGCATCCGTGGGCTGAATGTCGCCCAGGTGCAAATCGACACGATTTCCTGCAGCGCTCTCATCAGTGCCTGTGAAAAAGCGTCAGAATGGAGCTGGGCACTTAAGCCTTGAGCAAGAGCGACAATGCATGTTTGCCCCCAAATCCCCAAACCCTTAACCTTAAACCTTACGTCAATCCCCCCTATAGTAATAGCTCCGCAAGGCCCCAAATACTACTACAATAGTCCCTTGTGCTACCTTTTACTGGGTGGGGGATTGACCCAACTTGAACCCTTGACCCTCAACCCTAAGTCCTAAACCCTTAACCTTGAACCCTGAAACCACTGCAGGCCTTGCTCTACATGAACTGGAGCTGATGTGGCAGCTTTCTATCGAAAGCACCTTGCCATGCCTCTGCCTGGGTTGGCTGTTAAGGAACTTAAACTAACATACCGTAATATACATATATAGGGTTTAGGGCTTAAGTTACAATAGTATGTGTATGTCGTAATAGTAAATAATAGGGCTTCCTTAGTCTAGTGACTTAGTGTAAGTTCCTCCATGGCAACCTAGTAGCCTGGAGCTTCTTAGATTGCAGTTTGCATAGCATCAACCTGTTGCTCAGGCAATGCCATCACACATAGCGCAGCCATCAGTGCATGTGAAGCTGAAGACGTATGGCCAAATGCAGTTTTGCTCTTCGAGCCTTGTCGCACCTATACGACAGTTGTCTTCATGATTACCAGGGCCACGCTGGAGCTGCTACCCAGTAAGTGTGCCTCAAAAAAATTGCCTGCAAAAACGTAAACCATACCTCCCAACCCTCCGGCACCCCCCCCTTGTTGCAGTTGCCCTCTTAAAAAGCCCATTTGCCTTTGGCACCCAACAAATCTCCAACGTCCTGGCACTCTTTTCTATGCGATGCAGGGCTTCGGGTAGCTGATGACATGTTGTGTTGTGGGTGTTACCGTCCAGAGTGGGCAGATGGCTTCCTGCGCTCAGCTGAGCTGCCTCCTACCTCTACTACCACCACAGTCATTGCTACTAGGATCCCTACTCCTCATATCGCCTTACCACACCACTACACTAGTGCTTTATTTACGACTGTAGGGTTTCCCGAGATTAGGGGTACCATGTGGCGGGTCCCTAAACTAGGATCATAGTATTTGGACTTTATATTGGGGAACCCTATCTGTGGAAACCTCCCTTATCGAAGGATTCCAGTCATTGCTGCTGTCATTTTGCGCCTGTCTGCATTTTTCTCCTAAACATCTAAACTCTTCTAGACTCCAGACCCGTATGGCAGGACGGTTTCTACAACCTTGATGATGGCTATTTGTGACAAGTAGAGTCTCTCAGAATAGTCCTTTCTATGAAGAGGGACCCACG